CAAAAAGTAATTGAATGAACGGTTAATTGTTAAAACTGGATGGATGAAGGTTGGGTGCATAGATAGTATAAAGGATAGATAGATGAATATATAAAAGAAGTACATGGATGTATGGATGTATGGATGGATGGATGGATGGATGGATGGATGGATGGATGGATTGGTGGAATGATAGAACAATGGATGGATGGATGGATGGATGGATGGATGGATGGATGGATGGATGGATGGATGGATGGATGGATGGACAGAACAATATATCGTTGGATGGATAGATGGATGAATGGATGGATGGTCAGAACAATATATAGATGGATGGAATAACAAAACAGTGAATGGATGGATGGATGGATGGATGGATGGATGGATGGATGGATGGATGGATGGAATGACAGAACAATATATGGATGGATGGATGGATGGATGGATGGATGGATGGATGGATGGATGGATGGATGGATGGCGGATGGATGGATGGAATGACAGAACAATAGATGGATGGATGGATACACAAACAATCGATGGATGGATGGATGGATGGATGGATGGATGGATGGATGGATGGATGAATGAATGTATGGATGGATGGATGGATGGATGGATGGATGGATGGATGGATGGATGGATGGATGGAATGACAGAACCGTATATGGATGGATGGATGGATGGATAGATGGATGAATGGATGTATGGATGGATGGATGTATGGATGGATGGATGGATGGAATGACAGAACCGTATATGGATGGATGGATGGATAGATGGATGGATGAATGGATGGTACAACTAAACAAAAAGTTAAATGAATGATACAAGAATGATAAATGCAGATGGAGAGATGGATGGATGAAACGATGAACAAGTATATGAATGGATGGGATAGACAAAAAGATATAACAAGTACATGAAGGTATGTATGGATAGATGGACAGAACAATGTATGGAAGAAATAATAAACAAGAAAATGGGTTGTACAGCTAAACAAAAAGCTGAAGTGATGATACATGAATGATATAAATGGATGGATGGATGGATGGATGGATGGATGGATGGATGGATGGATGGATGGATGGAAGGATGGATGGATGGATGGATGGATGGATGGATGGATGGATGGATGGATGAATCAATGGATGGATGGATGGATGGATGGATGGATGGATGGATGGATGGATGGATGGATGGATGGATGGATGGATGGATGGATGGATGGATTGATAAACAAATGGATGGATGAATGGAATGACAGAACGACAGAACGATAGATAGATAGATAGATAGATAGATAGATAGATAGATAGATAGATAGATAGATAGATAGATAGATAGATAGATAGATAGATAGATAGATAGATAGATAGATAGATAGATAGATAGATAGATAGATAGAAACACATGACGGACGGACGGACGGACGGACAGACAGACAGACAGACAGACAGACAGACAGACATAGATAGATAGATAGATAGATAGATAGATAGATAGATAGATAGATAGATAGATAGATAGATAGATAGATAGATAGATAGATAGATAGATAGATAGATAGATAGATAGATAGAAACACATGACGGACGGACGGACGGACGGACAGACAGACAGACAGACAGACATAGATAGATAGATAGATAGATAGATAGATAGATAGATAGATAGATAGATAGATAGATAGATAGATAGATAGATAGATAGATAGATAGATAGATAGATAGATAGATAGATAGATAGATAGATAGATAGATAGATAGAAACACATGACGGACGGACGGACGGACGGACAGACAGACAGACAGACAGACAGACAGACATAGATAGATAGATAGATAGATAGATAGATAGATAGATAGATAGATAGATAGATAGATAGATAGATAGATAGATAGATAGATAGATAGATAGACAGACAGACCAGTACAGATGGATGGATGGATGGATGGATGGATGGATGGGTTGAGAGAACAATAGAGGGATGGATGGTAGAGTGGATAAAACAATGAATGAATGGCTTAACTCATATAGGAATGAGCAGCTCTTGCTGAATTTTACCGCAGCAGCTATTTCAGATATTACTTTCATAAACGCATTGTGCACAAATGACACCATCAAAACTCTGACGCTTGATAAGTTGAGCATCTATCACCAATACTCCACGTGCGCATGTTCAGAGGGTAACTGAGCTGAGCAATGCTGCAGTCAGAGCTTTGTTTGGTTTGGCCTGTTCGGCTTCTTGCAGCTCATGGGCAGCGGAAATGAAAGAAATAGTAATTAGGGAAATGGAATGATTTTATTGGCTGTGTTTTCTATACTCACTACAGCCCAGATGTCAGGCAGCTGAAAACACTGGAGCTGCTCACACTGGAGTCGGGAATCAAAATGGAGGATGCATCATTAATCAAACAACACAATCGTTTATGTAGTTTGCTGATGAAATCCAGCTGAATGAACTCCTAACATTAGGAAAACCTGCTAAGCCAAAGATAGCCGACTACACTGTAGGCCACACACAATCTTTTAAAAATAGTGAGAGAAACAGCAGACATTAATGCATGGTAAACATTTACAATGTAACCTTATGCAAATGCATTCAATATTTTGTGTTTGTTGTTTTTGTCTTGTTTTACTTCTTGTCTTTTGGTTTCCTAAATCAAATCAAGGAAATTCGTAATATCTGATAAAAATAGTTAACAGATTTAGTATAACCAAGTTAGCCCCTGCTGGTACAAGCAGGAACTGCTACACACACACACACACACACACACACACTCACACACTAGGATGATTTAACATAAAGGCATATACTTTTTTTTTTTAGATCAATAGATCATATACACTCATCGTCCACTTTATTAGGTACACCTTACTAGTACCGGGTTAGACCCTCTTTTGCTTAAAGAACTGCCTCAATCCTTCATGGCATAGATTCAACAAGGTACTGGAAATATTCTTTAGAGATTTTGGTCCATATTGATATGATAGCATTACACAGTTGCCGCAGATTTGTCGGCTGCACATCCATGATGCAAATTTCCCATTCCACCACATTACAAAGGTGCTCTATTGGATTGAGGTCTGGGGACTGTGGAGGCCATTTGAGTACAATGAGTACACTCATTGTCATGTTCAAGAAACCAGTCTGAGATGATTCGTGTTTTATGACATAGTGCGTTATCATCCTGGAAGTAGCCATCAGAAGATGAGTACACTGTGGTCATAGAGGAATGCACATGGTCAGCAACAAAACTCAGGTAGCCTGTGGCGTTGACATGTTGCTCAATTGGTACTAATGGGCCCAAAGTGTGCCAAGAAAATATTCCCCACACCATTATACCACCAAAACCAGCCTGAACTGTTGATACAAGGCAGGATGGATCCATGCTTTCATGTTGTTGATTCCAAATTCTGACCCTACCATCCGCAGCAGAAATCAAGACTCATCAGACCAGGCAAGGTTTCTCCAATCTTCTATTGTCAATTTTTTTTGAGCCTGTGTAGCCTCAGTTTCCTGTTCTTAGCTGACATGAGTGACACCTGGTGTGGTCTTTTGCTGCTGTAACCCATCCGCCTCAAGGTTAGACCTGTTGTCCATTCAGATGCTCTTCTGCATATCTCGATTATAACGACTGCTTATTTGAGTTACTGTTGTCTTTCTATCAGCTGGAACCAGTCTGGCCATTTTCCTCTGACCTCTGGCATCAACTAGGCATTTGTGCCCACAGAACTGTCGTTCACTGGATATTTTCTCTTTATCGGACCATTCTCTGTAAACCCTAGAGATGGTTGTGCATGAAAATTCCAGTAGATCAGTAGTTTCTAAAATACTCAGACCAGCCCATCTGGCACTAACAACCATGCCACGTTCAAAATCCCTTAAATCACCTTACTGATTCTGATGCTCGGTTTGAACTGCAGCAGATCATCTTGACCATGCCTACATGCTTAATTGCATTGTTGTTGCTGTCATGTTATTGGCTGATTAGAAATTTACATTAACGAGCAGTTGGACACATGTATATGTGTGTGTGTGTGTATATATATATCGTTCATTCATTTTCTTGTCAGCTTAGTCTCTTTATTAATCCGGGGTCGCCACAGCAGAATGAACCATTAACTTATCCAGCACGTTTTTACGCAGCGGATGCCCTTTCAGCCACAACCCATTTCTAGGAAACATCCACACACAAACACACACACTCATACACTACGGACAATTTAGCCTACCCAATTCACCTGTCCTGCATGTCTTTGGACTGTGGGGGAAACCGGTGCACCTGGAGGAAACCAATGCGATATATATTTATTTATTTATTTATTTATTTATTTATTTATATTGTGAAAGTAGATACTAAAAGTAGATACTATTGCAAAGGCCAGTTCTTGGTTTATCTTCCATATATATATATATATATATATATATATATATATATATATATAGGGTAATAGATACAGGTATAGTAATGTTTTTATTTAATATAGGCCTAAATAAAGATTGTGACATTAAAATGCATGTAGGCTATATTTAAGGTAATTAAGTGGATTGTATAATTATAGACCTATCTATGTATCATAAAACATGCCTCTTTGGTCTTGTGTGTTTGAGGGTGGCTTGGTTTTTGTTCCATCTGGATTGCAGAACAAGCACATCAGTTCATTAGTGTGACTTCTGATGTAGGGGTTGCTTTAATCTGAAACTGTAAACTTTAGTTAATTACATCCTCTTAAAGAGAACTTAATTGCACATAATCAGACCAGAGGAACAGCGGAGTTCACTATAACGGCACACAGCAGATGAGCCGAGAGTGTTTGAACCGCTGCAACTTCATTCACACTTATAAATATATATTAATATGAAGCAAGGTTTTATTCAAAACCGTGATTATTCATGCTTTTTATTGCTTGGTGTTTAACTAACATGGTTGGAAACTCATTGAAAGCGGAACTACATATTAGAGCATTAGATAGCAGTCGAACTGATATGCGTGACGCACGCCCTCTTCACGAAAAGCAACATGGCGTCTAGCGAGGAGGTAAACAAACACATATTTTGAAATGTTAGCCTAACACTTGTCTTTATTTTTGCTAGATGTGTGTATTTTATGTATTTGTCATGCATAATTATGATTACTTGCAAATTGTCGGCTTAGTGTATTTGTTTTCTGAACGTTGTTCTTATTGTCATTGTGGCTAACGTTAACAGTGCTAACGCCAGTCTCTGAAATTCTGTCAGTTTAATCCCACACACAGTTCAGTGTTTAAACTGCTGACACTGAATCAGATGTCTGATTAATTGTGTTGTGGATTGATTTACTAAATGTTACGTAAGATTTCGGTACTTTGATTACTCCTAACATGTAATTTAACGTTACATGACGTTATTAAGCTTTGTATGTGGTATAATATTATGTTTACCTCATAGGTTGTTGCTCCCAGTAATGAAGAGGAGGTTACAGAGACTCCAGCAGCACAGAAGAGGGAAGAGAGACTTAGAAAGTTCAGAGAGCTTCATTTTAAGAGGGTAAATACTTTAATTTGACGTTAAATCTTTTCAATATATGAACTTATGATTTATCAGAGATAATCTTTTTTTATTAAGGTAACCTAATGTCCAGTTTAACACGTCTTGGGTTTTGTGGTATGTGGTAAAAGCATTGTGAAATCAATTCATAGTGAAATCCATTCTTTAAACTGCAATTGTATTTGTAGATTATTCCATGCAAAAGGTGCTGCGTATTTAAAAGCCTTTTCCCCCATCTTAGTCCGCACTTTAGAATCAGACAGTAAATAAATATCCTGTGACTGAAGGCCAAAGCTAAGGACAGGTATTTTAGAAATGTAATTCTGTAGATATGATGGGAGTAAACCCAGTATAGATTTGTAAACAAAGATATGCCAATGTTTGAGCCTATGAGCGGACAAAGCAGACCAACCTACCCTAGTATACAACACACAATGATGAGTAAGGGATTTAAAATTAGGTATAAATCTTAGTGCACCTTGGTAAACAGTATCCAATGCATGGCAATATTTATATAAGTGTATAGTCCAATATCAACATAAATGTTGCATTAACCAGCTTCTTTATAGCATCAAAAGAAAGGCAGTTCTTCTAAAATAAAATCACTTTTATTTCTTTCACCAGTTGCTGAATGTGAGAATTAAATGAAAGTGTATCATCAATTAAAAGTCCACGATAATTGTACTGAGCCACTAATTCAATCTCTGCGCCATTAGTAGTAATAAAACCTAGCTTTTGCTTAGATAGTTATAAATTTGAAAATAACATAAGTTTTGTTTTATCTCCATTTAAAACTACTAGTTTTAACTCTGATAAATTATGTTTAAGGACATTAAAAGCTCTGTATAAATCTGTAGTTTCGAAAGGGACAGATTGGGTGTAGATGCAGCTGTGTACAGTATATGACTGTATCATCAACGTAATAATGTAAATTAGAATTTTTTTATATTTTGATCAACATTATTTATATATTTTATATATATTTATTTATATATGTATGTGTTTAGTAATAAAAAGAGGCCCCAGTACAAAACTCTGGAGCTCTTTTAGTTACGTTTAAAGTACTATAAACAAGGCAACAGGGAAATCATGTTAGCAGCCCATGATTATCAAAGTACACCATTGTTCACAGTCAATAATACAGTGCTAATGTTGTTTTGAATTAGGCCTGCACAATATATTGTTTGAGCATTGATATTACAATGTGCGTTGGCAATCGTCAAAATGCAAGATATGCAATTTTGAGTTGGGATTATATTTGACCAGAAACCACAGATCCAAACACGAGATTTGTGGAGACACTGCAGAATTGAACCATAATTAAGTGAAAGTTTATCATCTACAAAGTGTTTTTAAGGTCTGTGACTTGGCATTTTAAGAGAGTGTAAATCATTTTAATTGCGCATAAAGAAGTTTAATAAAGACTCATTTCAGTTTGTATGATGAAGACTATGCAATGTTATTTTACATTTCATTATTCAATTTCTTTACCTGAATACTGTATTTTAATATATAGAAAATATATTTCATTTACTCAGGTCAGTGTGTTTACCCTATTGTTTCTTTGTACAAATTTCTGAGTGAAAATTATTATGTATTACTATTTCTACACACAGTTCACATATAGGTGAATGTTACTGAAATGATGTTTACACAAATCTTCTAAAATGGCTGAAATGCTGTATTCTGCAAGCCAGACCAGTAGTTGGCGATGCCACTTAAAGGAGACCTGTTATGCAAAAATTACTTTTATAAGGGGTTTAAACACAGTCGTGTGGCCACAGTCTGGGAATATAACCAGCTACTAATAGTAAAGATTTAATTTTATATATATGTGTGATGTAATTATCTAAAAATAATAAACAATAATAATAATGTTAAAAATCAAGTTAGTACAAGTTTTGGTTCCAAACCACACAGTGATGCAGCTGGTCAGGATGCTCTCAATAGTGCCTCTGTAGAAGGTGTACATGATTGGGGCTGGTGCTCTTGCTCTTTTAAGTTTGCGGAGGAAGTAGAGACGCTGCTGTGATCTTTTGGCCAGTGCAGTGGAGTTTTTAGTCCAGGAGAGATCCTCAGTGATGTGTACACCCAGGAACTTGGTACTGCTCACACGCTCCACAGTCGCACCGTTGATGGTCAGGGGAGCATGGAGAGTGTGCTCTTTCCTGAAGTCAACAACAATCTCTTTCGTGTTCTCCACATTCAAAAAGAGATTGTTGTCTCTGCACCACTCGGCCAGACGGCTCACCCCGCTTCTGTAGTTTTTCTCATCGCTTTTGTTGATGAGACCCACCACAGTTGTGTCATCCGCAAACTTGATGAACAGATTGGAGTTGTGTGATGGTGTACAGTGTAGTACACTATCTAGTAAAAGATATAAATAATAGGTCCCTTTTGAGAAATGAAATAAAAATTAAACGTACTGTCATTTTTAAAAATTTATTATTATTCAAGCCTCAGTTTTCATATTTGTCTCTTTGCTAAATTTTTGCAATGAGCTTCGTGTTGAGTCCCTGGTGTAATGTAGTTCTATGTTAAGAATAAACTCTTTACTGGAAACTTAAGACACAGCAAAACACAATCTACTGTATTAGTGTCTGTTATAAATGTAATTGTCTTTTGTTTGTAGAATGAGGCCCGTAAGCTGAATCATCAGGAGGTGGTGGAGGAGGACAAAAGATTGAAGCTGCCGTCAAACTGGGAGGCCAAAAAAGCACGTCTAGAGTATGAGCTCTTGGTTGACCAGAAGAAAAAGGTAAAGCTTTTGAGTTCAAACCGGCAATCCTTTTATATGCATACATGCATACATATATGTGTTGTGCTGTGTCTTAAGTTTCCAGTAAACAGTTTATTCTTAACAGAAATCCATGGCTGCCAGCTTCCAACATTCTTCAGAATAACTTCTTTTCTTTTAAACAGAAAAAAGAACAGGGTCTATGTGGGGCCCTTAAAAATATTAAAAGTTGATAAATCAAGTATGAAAATTAAGGCCCTTAAAAGGTATTAAAATATCTTAATCATGTTTTTACGAGGTCTTAATTTTTGTTCAAGCACTGTCTAAAGTGTTTTACTCCAAAAAAAGCATATTTATTTTAATCCAAATATTAATATTGGGGTGCTCGAGTCACTTGATTAGTTTGGGCTGGGGGCGTCCAGCCTGGCTCCTTCGTCCGGGTATTGTCACATAATTTACGACGCTCTCCACATGTAACGAAATCATAGAGCGAATCAGATAGCAAAATGGGAAAATGTAAGTTTGCGTACTCCTAGTTGGAGAAGGACGAGTTTAAACCGTGGCTGAAACATGTCGCTGAATACAACCGCGTTATTTATTCTTTCAAGCTTTGTTTCTTCCGAGCTTATCTGAGTGCTGATGCATGGCTGTGCTCCACTGATTTATTTAACTACAACTGTTTATTAAGTTAAAGGTTTGATACTGATTGGAACTTGAAGTGGCAATGAGGTCTTAAAATATTCTGAGAAGGTCTTTAAAAAGTCTTAATAACGTATTGAAATTACCTTTAGGATTCCTGCATATACCCTGAAAAAACTAATCAAGGTTTGGACCAGACCTAAACCTTTAAACAAAAATGTATATATCTATATATAGTTATCAGCCAATAAAAGTGCCATATCAATCATCCACTTATTGTGATTATGTAGTCTGTAAAAAAGCGATTGTGACCCTGTGATTTGTGTGTGTGTGTGTGTGTGTGTTTCAGGAGTGTGCGGAGCGTGGTGAAGATTACGACCGTGTGAAGCTCCTGGAGATCAGTGCTGAAGATGCAGAGAGATGGGAGAGAAAGAAAAAGAAGAGAAACCCTGATCCTGGATTCTCGGGTATAAAACAGTCATCTTGAATATTATTATACAACCTAATTAATCGGCTGCCTGCCTATTTGCTGAGAGCGAGAGGAAATATGGCTGCCATGTGTGACTCAAAACATGTAAAAATGAAAACATGCAGAGCTTGTGTTTCACGCCTGCTTATCGTCGGTTCTGGCAATTATTATCATTTGCCTTCTCCCTGTAAAAGCCCCTCCTCTACAGCTGGACGTGTGTTTTATTTATTTATTTATTTATTTGTGTGTGTGTGTGTGTGTGTGTGTGTGTGTGTGTGTGTGTGTGTGTGTGTGTGTGTGTGTGTGTGTGTGTGTGTGTGCGTTGTGCGTGTGTCTGTGTGCGTGTGTCTGTGTGCGTGTGTCTGTGTGTGTGTGTCTGTGTGTCTGTGTGTGTCTGTGTGTGTCTGTGTGTGTGTAGGGTATGCCGAGGCCCAGCTGAGACAGTACCAGAGATTGACGAAGCAGATCAAGCCTGATATGGAAAACTATGAGAAACAGAAAGAAGAGTGGTGAGTTCATTCATATTCAATTTTTGTAAAGCACACTATTTAAATTGATTGTTTTAAGTCAAGGCTAAGACTGAGCAACTATTTGTATGCAACCAGTCACTTGATTTATTTCTAAATGAATTTGCCATTTACATTTTTTTTTAGCAACTCATTAAGATTTTAAAGCACGTATTGTTGGCCTTATTATTATTCATTCACCTAAGACAAGTCTAAACCATCCTATGTACAAGAACAAAAACTAAATCAGCAAAAATAGTTTAACTATACTCTACACACTGTATATGAATATAAAAAGCTGATTGTCTATCTGTCCTTTGCTCCTAGTGGAGAAGATTTCCACCCCACCTCCAACAGTCTGATTTACGGCACTCACGTTCCCTCTAAGGACAGCATCAACCGAATGGTGGACGACGTAGAGAAACAGTAAGAATCTGAGAGTTTTTGTCTTCAGAAAGGTTTGATTTCTCAGAAGCGGACGTTTCTACATTAGGTAGAAGTTTCTACATTACTACTGATTAGAGATGTGGGAATAAATTGTTTGAGAAATCAAGTCTGCATTTGCATAACTAGCCTAGAGAGTGCTGTCTGCTGTTTAAAACTAGCCTAGAGCACCATATGCTATTTAAAAGCTGGCCCAGAGCGCCATCTGCTGTTTAAAACTAGCCTAGAGCACCATCTATTGTTTAAAACTAGCCTAGAGCGCCATCTGCTGTTTAAACTAGCCTAGAGGCCCATCTGCTGTTTAAAACTAGCCTAGAGCACCATCTGCTGTTTAAAAACTAGCCTAGAGCACCATCTGCTGTTAAAAAATAGCCTAGAGCACCATCTGCTGTTTAAAACTAACCTGGAGCACCATCTGCTGTTAAAAAATAGCCTAGAGCACCATCTGCTGTTTAAAACTAACCTAGAGCGCCACCTGCTGTTTAAAACTAGCCTAGAGCACCATCTGCTGTTTAAACTAGCCTAGATCACCATCTGCTGTTTAAAACTAGCCTAGAGTGCCATCTGCTGTTTAAACTAGCCTAGCGCACCATCTGCTGTTTAAACTAGCCTAGAGCTCCATCTGCTGTTAAAAAATAGCCTAAAGCACTATCTGCTGTTTAAAACTAACCTAGAGCGCCACCTGCTGTTTAAAACTAGCCTAGAGCACCATCTACTGTTTAAACTAGCCTAGATCACCATCTGCTGTTTAAAACTAGCCTAGAGCGCCATCTGCTGTTTAAACTAGCCTAGCGCACCATCTGCTGTTTAAACTAGCCTAGAGCTCCATCTGCTGTTAAAAACTAGCCTAGAGCGCCATCTGCTGTTTAAACTAGCCTAGAGCGCCATCTGCTGTTAAAAACTAGCCTAGAGCGCCATCTGCTGTTTAAACTAGCCTAGAGCACCATCTGCTGTTTAAAAGCTAGCCTAGTGCGCCATCTGCTGTTTAAAACTAGCCTAGAGCGCCATCTGCTGTTTAAAACTAGCCTAGAGCGCCACCTGCTGTTTAAAACTAGCCTAGAGCACCATCTACTGTTTAAAACCAGCCTAGAGCACCATCTACGGTTTAAACTAGCCTAGAGCACCATCTGCTGTTTAAAACTAGCCTAGAGCACCATCTGCTGTTTAAAGCTAGCCTAGAGCGCCTTCTGCTGTTTAAACTAGCCTAGAGTGCCATCTGCTGTTAAAAACTAGCCTAGAGCGCCATCTGCTGTTAAAAACTAGCCTAAAGCGCCATCTGCTGTTTAAACTAGCCTAGAGCGCCATCTGCTGTTAAAAACTAGCCTAGAGCGCCATCTGCTATTTAAACTAGCCTAGAGCGCCATCTGCTGTTTAAAAGCTAGCCTAGACCGCCATCTGCTGTTTAAACTAGCCTAGAGCGCCATCTGCTGTTAAAAACTAGCCTAGACCGCCATCTGCTGTTTAAACTAGCCTAGAGCGCCATCTGCTGTTTAAAACTAGCCTAGAGCGCCATCTGCTGTTTAAAACTAGCCTAGAGCGCCACCTGCTGTTTAAAACTAGCCTAGAGCACCATCTACTGTTTAAAACCAGCCTAGAGCACCATCTGCTGTTTAAACTAGCCTAGAGCACCATCTGCTGTTTAAAACTAGCCTAGAGCACCATCTGCTGTTTAAAGCTAGCCTAGAGCACCATCTGCTGTTTAAAGCTAGCCTAGAGCGCCTTCTGCTGTTTAAACTAGCCTAGAGTGCCATCTGCTGTTAAAAACTAGCCTAGAGCGCCATCTGCTGTTAAAAACTAGCCTAAAGCGCCATCTGCTGTTTAAACTAGCCTAGAGCGCCATCTGCTGTTAAAAACTAGCCTAGAGCGCCATCTGCTATTTAAACTAGCCTAGAGCGCCATCTGCTGTTTAAAAGCTAGCCTAGACCGCCATCTGCTGTTTAAACTAGCCTAGAGCGCCATCTGCTGTTAAAAACTAGCCTAGACCGCCATCTGCTGTTTAAACTAGCCTAGAGCGCCATCTGCTGTTTAAAACTAGCCTAGAGCGCCACCTGCTGTTTAAAACTAGCATAGAACACCATCTACTGTTTAAAACCAGCTTAGAGCACCATCTGCGGTTTAAACTAGCCTAGAGCACCATCTGCTGTTTAAACTAGCCTAGAGCACCATCTGCTGTTTAAAGCTAGCCTAGAGCGCCACCTGCTTTTAAAACATAGCCTAGAGCGCTGTATGCTATTTAAAACTTTAAAACTATTCTAAAGCGCTATCTGCTGGTAACAACTAGCCTAGCAGACCATCTGCTATTTAAAGCTAGCCTAGAGCACCATCTGCTGGTAAAAATTAGCCTAGAGCGCCATCTTTAGTTTTACAGATAATACACATGGAGCACAGCTAAAGAATGATACCTTGTGAATTCCTGCTGTTCAATAAGAGCCACCTGCATTTTATTCTGCCTGTCTTCCACGTCAAACGGCTGTGTTTATGTTTGTATTTCTGTATTAAGTTTATATTTTTGATGTTCTTCTATCCATTTACATGAACCTGGTTATTGATGTTCAGAATCGCCCAATTTGCTTGCAAAAAAAGTGCAATCGCTATCAAGATTCCTGCATCAATGAGATGTTGGAGCGTTTGAGAGAGTGTATGTGTTTGTTCCTCAGTCCAGATGTGTTTGTGCCGTTGCGTGCCTGTCACACATGGATGTGTGCGCCGCCGAGGGTTTGTTTATGCGCAAGACGCCATTCTTCTATTTTGGAGGAGCTGCTTTTAGCTTCTGAGAAACATTAGACAGGGCTACGGCTGCCAGATTGTGACGCACAAACGCGCTTTGAAGATGTTTGAAGAAACGTCTGTGTGTGTGGGGGGCGTCCGAGACTCTTTGATGGACTTTGAAAACTGACATTGTCTGTTGAAGCATCAAAACTTGTAGAAATGAATGGATAAAGATGGGTAGAGATCACATATGCGCTGCTTGTGTGACGAGATTAATATTGTAAGTGGTGAGAGTTTAATGTACGTGCTGACCATTATACATTGTAAAGACAGTGTTGTTTTACACAAACGCCGTTATGAATGGATAAAAACATGCTTGTTTGTTGTAAAAATTCTTATTAATGTCAAAAAATACTCAGGTGTGCAGCCATGTTGCCGTTGTAGCTGCTGTATTCTGGGAAATTTTCGTACCCCCTGGTTTTCTAGTGTGGTCCTGGAAAATCCCTCTTTCGAGGGCTATCTAGCCCTTCCCTCAGCCCTATGCCTTCAAGCTAAAGAGAATTGGGACACCCCTACTCCTTCAGGTGAATGTGCAAAACCAGTAGTAAGTGGAAAGGCCAAGTGGAAGCCTTGGTTAGTTTTATTAATGTAAGCTGAGATGACTAGAAAAGCTAATTTAATTAAACAAAAAAAATTAATTCAGCAAGATTTTTTAACAGTGTAAAGGAAATATGTTTGAAACTCGCATATATTGTAAAATAAAGTAACTGTAGGGGGTTTTTAAAGGGCACCTATTTACCCCCAAGATTTAGGATAAGTCTTTTGTGTCTCCAGAATGTGTCTGTAAAGTTTAGCTCAAAACAGAAACACCCGTCCGATTATTTATTATACTTTCAGAATATTGGATTTTTTGCTCTGAGCATCTTGTAGTGGTTTTGTGGCCTGCACCTTTAATGCTAGTTCTCCCTGCCCACCAAGGTTATTATAGTTAACAAAAACGAACAAAAAAAACGAAAACTAAAATGTAAAATAATTGTCGTTAACTGAAATAAGAGAGTTTGAGAGTCATACACAATGTTGTTATGAAGTTAACACTCAGAGACACAGACACACACACACAGCATTGTCATTGCACTGTTTTTGCAAAGCAAATGTGACCGGATACAGGTTAATATCCACTGCTGTATAGACATCCGTTATGTTCATGTACAAAATAAACCTGATTTAACGTCCACAAAACTGTATTATCATCTTTTATAATTGTACTGACATGTGACTGTGGTGATAAAGACGGTAAAATCGCTGTAATTCATTACAAACATGCACTGTTTAAAAACCATTTTAAACTTGCACAAGTCATTCTTGATCAAATTTGATGATGATTGATGACTGATGATCACAGAGAGCTGAACAGATCTTTTAATCCCGGTTGCTTTGTGCACGTCCTGTCTTGTTAATTTGATTATACGTATTACTGGAGACATGTTAATACTCGCCTGTCAATCAATTCGGTGGGCGGGGAAACCGCACTCCTACGTCATGTTGCTTTCACTCTCAAAATGGAAGGGATTTGGATCCTATTTTAACTAGGGGTGTCACGATTTTTAATCGAAATCGATCAATGTATGCTCAATTTCGATTATTGAATCAAAAAATAGAATCGTCAATGCTGCCACGCCCCCATGTCACGTCAGCTTGGCTTGCCAAGCGGGAAAAAATACAGGCTTGTTGAAGTGCTTGTTAAACTGCAGAAGCAGGAGACCCGTCGACAGAACTTTAACCCTCTCCTCTTTCAATGAAGTCGCCGGTGTGTAAGCATTTTGGATTACCAGTGAGTTATGTTGACAACGTTTGTGTAGTCGACAATAAAACACAGTTTTGCAAGCTCTGCTATGTACGTATTACGTACGGTTCGTCCGATAGGCAACACCGGCATCGCGATCCTCCGCCCGCCCCCGTTGCTAATCCGCTCGCGAAAAGTACACACTCAGGCCCTGTTTACACTGTCTTTGTTTTTAAATGGCATTTCAGAACGACAACGATTTGACATCCACAGTGGCGTGTAGCGTTTCTGAGCAGCCCTCCTTCCTCACTACCTCTGAAAATGCACATCACGTGACCACACAGACACAGACGCACACAGCCATGCGCTCGAGACAGCAGGTCCAGGCAGTCAGAGGACTGCTTCAATCTTTCACTCACTTGTACTTAGTCATTTTAGCGAACACCTCAGATACTGTTGGCTGGTTCCTGTTGGTTGTGCGTCTTTTTTACCGACACCATTATAACGACACATATCACTGCCTAATAATTGGTCATTAATTAATTAATTAATTATTCATAATCGAAAATCGAATCGTGCCTTTAGAATCGAAAATGTAATCGAATCGAGGATTTGGAGGATCGTGACACCCTTAATTTTAAAATTAGGACATTTAAAAAAAAAAGAGAGACTTTTGTCTTTATATCGTCCAAATATGACTGCGGACACACTATAACTACACACAGTTCTGTCTAAACAGTTTATAAAAGATTATTTTCATCATAGGTGCCCTTTTAAATCTGCTTAAAAAAAACAATAATTCTCTTAAAATGTTAAATAAATCAGTTAAATAAATAAAAACTATAATCACCAATAAATAGTGCAGCAGTAAATGTTTTTGGCACATTATGTAAAAAAACAAAAAAAACTGGAATATTTATTTATTTTTATTATTTATTTTTTTAAACTAGGTAAGTTCTTGCATTTAACATCTTTTAACAGAATGGTTGAAATCATGTTTTTACATTTTTTTTTTTGTAGATGTTTGTGTTTTCTCACTACATATCCCAGCTGTTTTAAGAGATGGCAATGTGTGTGTATAATCTCCATGAATGTGTGTTTGTGTTTAGGATCGAAAAGCGAGCGAAATACAGCCGCCGCAGAGCTTACAATGACGACGCTGACATCGATTACATCAACGAGAGAAACGCCAAGTTCAACAAGAAGGCCGAACGTTTCTACGGCAAATACACGGCAGAGATCAAGCAGAACCTGGAGAGAGGAACCGCCGTGTAAACCTACACCTGCATCCAGAACTCACAAACCAAGATTTTAAAGGAATGCTTCTTCTTTTTTCTCATTTTACTTCTTTAAACGAGTGTAAAAGTAATTTTTCTTTCATATTATTTTAGTTTAATTCAGCATTGTAAGAGTGGATATCTTCCTGTAAGTGTATTTGCTGTTTTGTGTATAAATCTATTCATTTCTTCAGCAGTTGACCTCTGGGTCCATTAAAAACATTTTCATATGAAACACAGTTGGTTTTGTGGTGATGTAAAGGCAGAAAGTTGATATCATTAGCTGCGTCCCAAATCGCATACTTATGCACTATTCTACGCCATTGTAGTATAAATAGTGTAAGTAGTGTGTTCACACTGAAAACACAGTGCACTTTAATTACCCGGATGATGCACTCATTCAGCCGCTAAAATGAAGTGTGTAATGATGGACACTTCACGCACTCAACGACCGCAGGTTTGCTTATGTAGCGGAAGGGGCGGAGCTATCGGACGCACATGTTGGATAACTTTATTTATTTTGGATGGTGAAAGCAAAATTCTCCTACGAGAGTGATTATAGCGCCTCCCGATGGTGAATGCGGCATCACTCACGGCAGGTATTATCTGATAATTCGGTCGTTTATTTCACTGATTTGGCAACCTTCAAACCTCATCAGGGAAACGGTTTGAATTTCCGCTTAGTAAAAAAACATTAGTGTGCCATTTGGGACGCCACTACATACATATACTATCCTGTTGAGTGCATAAGTACATAGTGCATGAGTGTATAGTGTGCCATTTGGGATGCAGCTATTGTCATTTTAGAGCAGGGGTGGCCAACCCTGTTCCTGGAGAGCCACCTTCATGGAGATTTCAGTTGCTACCCATATCAAACACACCTGCCTGTAATTATCACATGGTGTTCAGGTCCTAATTAATTGGTTCAGGTGTGTTTGATATGGGTAGCAACTGAAATCTGCAGGAAGGTGGCTCACCAGGAACAGGGTTGGCCACCCGTTTTAGAGCATCAATATTCAATGCAACTTGCCTCTAATTCTCTTGCGCAGTGTACAATACAGAGCTGTCAGTCTCTGATATACAGAATAATGTCGTTGTTAGAGATACAGTTGTACTACTTCACTCTGTGCGTTTCTGAGATCTGTATTCTCAGCAGCGAAACTGCTTCAAGAACAGCAACTTCAGAAAGCATGTTTCTCATTCATTATAAAGAACAATTTTAGGACAACAACATGGCTTTGGTTGTTTTGCTAACCAAAATCATTCAGCAAAGTGATTTAGAACTGTAATGTGGTCAAAACCTGCCTGGAACTACTTTAGATGTTCATCAACCAATCAGAAGCATTGAACAGCCCTGTAATCATTCATTTTCCTTCAACTTCCTAGAGCTCCATCTGCTAATTAAACATTTAAAACTAGCCTAGAGCGCTGTCTGCTGTTTAGAAAAACTAGCCTAGAGGGCCTTCTGCTTGTAACAACTAGCCTAGTACACCATCTGCTATTTAAAGTTAGCCTAGAGCGCCATCTGCTGTTTAAACTAGCCTAGAGCGCCATCTTCTATTTAAAGCTTTATAACTAGTCTAGACTGATGCGCAGATGACGCTCCTAGACTTTCCTTCGTTCCTTTATTTATCAGGGGTCGCCACAGTGGAATGAATCGACAACTGTTCCAGCATATGTTTTACACAGCAGATGCCGTTCCAGCTACAACCCAGTACTGGGAAACATCCATACACAGTCATTCACACACATGCATACACTACAGCCAATTTGGTTTATTCACTTCACCTATAGCGCATGTGTTTGGACTGTGGAGGAAACCAGAGCACACGGAGGAAACCCACACCAACACAAGGAGAACATGCAAACAGAAATGCCAACTGAACCTGCCGGGACTCAATGACTTTTTTCTTAACTTATTTAAAAGAAGTAATTCTTAAGGTTTATTAGGACAACTTAATTGTTTTGTGTTCAACCTAAATTTGAAAATCAATTGAGTTAACGCGATCTGTGTTGTGACAACATGGATTATTTGCAGTGTAATTATAGCAAATATTGCATGCATACAGTGCTTCGGGAAAGTCTTGATGGCGCTTCACTTTTTTCACATTTTTTATGTCACAGCCTTATTCCAAAATAGATTCAATTAATTTATTTCCTTATAATTCTACACTCAATACCCCATAATGACAATGTGGAGAAAGAGTTTTTGAAATTGTTGCAAATTTATTAAAAATAAAAAAGCTGAAAAATCAGTATTGACAGCCTTTGGCGTGAAGCCCTAAAATTAGCTCAGGTACCCCAGGTAAAAAAAAAAAAAAAGTGCACTAAAATGCACTTTATTTAAGTATACCTAGTACACTTTTCAGTAATGTACTAAAAGTGCTCTATTTTTGCGCACTAATTTTGTACTTAATGCACTAAAATATAGTATTAAGTATATGTTAAGATAAACTTAATACCATCTAATGTACTCAACTGTGCTATTTTGAGACACCCTAAAATTGAACTAAAATGCGCTTTTAACATAATATATCTGTATTTTAAAAATATATATATTTAGTTACAACTAGAAATAAGCTTGAACCCTAATTTTAAACATTCACAAATGTATTTAAGAATAGCTTAAAGTATAATTGTAATATATTAAAAGAATATACAAATTGTTTAAAAAAAAGTGTGCTAAATACTGTATTAAAAGTATTTTGGGAAATGTACTTCTACTACAATACATTACTAATAGATTTTAATAAAGTCAATTTAATTTCAACTTAAAATTACCACACTCAAAATCAATTTAGGTGTTAGTGATAATAATGCATTCATATTAAGTGTACTTATGTACAACTTTTGTGAAAATGTACTTCTACTACAATACATTACTAATAGATTTTTTTATATATTAACTTATTTTAAATTTAGGATTAGTATGTAAACAGTGTACTAAGAATCAACTAATGTTTAAAGCATTTAAAGCACACTTTTGAAAAACACTAATAAAACTCTTTTGGATGTATTTTCTGTAGTGTACTTTATTGTAGTAGACTAAAAATGTATTTAAGTATTACTGGTATTTAGTATACTTTTGTCAAGTGTACTAAAGTCCTACTGAAGTATAAACATACTTTTAATTAGTATATTTATAGTGTAAAACCATCAAACTTTTATTTAACACTAAAAAAAAAACAATGTACTAAAAATGTATTTGCGGGTATTTAAGTGTATTTTAATTGCATTTAATTATATATTTTTTCACCTGGAACATTCTGTTTCCACTGATCATTCTTGAGATGTTTCAGCAGCTTAATTGGAGTTCACCTGTGGTCAATTCAGTTGATTGGACATGATTTGAAAAGGCATACACCTGTCTAGATAAGTTCCCAGGTTTGACAGTGCATGTCAAAGCATAAACCAAGCATGGAGACAAAGGAATTGTCTGTAGACCTCTGAAACAGGATTGTCTCGAGGCACAAGGCTGGGGAAGGTTGCAGAAACATTTCTGCTGCTCTAAAAGTTCCAATGAGCACAGTGGCCTCCATCATCCGTAAGTGGAAGATGTCTGGAACCACCAGGACTCCTTCCTAGAGAAATAAATAAATTTTATCCATTTTGGAATAAAGCTGTAGTGCAAAAAATGTGGAAAAAGTGAAGCGATATCAATACTTTCCGTAAGCACTGTGTATTGGGATCAGAAGATGATTGTTACTTCATCACAGAGTGTGAGAACTCTACTGATTGCTTGTATGTTGTTGTTTTTAAACTCCCACAAACATCAAAGTGTAAACCAGTTCAACTATTGCGTTATCTCCATCATCGCTGCCCTTAGGCGCAGAGAAATTAGACAAGAAACTTGTGACCTGAACTGACTTCAAAGTGAATCCGAAATCTTCCCAGACGGCACCAAATTAGTTTGTTCCTGTAAAGAAAAACACATGAAGCTTCACAGCATTTTTCACTATGGTTTACACTTTTAGTTTAGATTTCACATTCACTTATTTGCAGTCTATATGCATGTAGTATTTTATACTGTTGAACTTATTCGCCCTCCTTTGAATTTCTTTTTCAATTGTTTCCAAAATGATATTTAACAGAGCAAGGAATTTTCAGAGTATTTCCTCTATATAGTTTTTCTTCTGGAGAAAGTCTTAATTGTTTTATTTCGGCTAGAATAAAAGCAGTTTTTAATAAAAAAAAATGTAAATTCAATATTATTATCCCCCTTAAGCAATATTTGTTTCAATTGTTTACAGAATAAACCACTGTTATAGAATGACTTTCCTAATTAACCTGATTAACCCGTTAAGCCTTTAAATGTCACTTTCAGATTATTACAAATACCTTTTAATATCTAGTAAACATGTACTGTCATTATGGCAAAGATAAAAGAAATCAGTTATTAGAAATGAGTTATTAAAACTCTTATGTTTTGAAATGTGTTGGAAAAATCTGTTAAAATTGTGGAAAGAATATATGGGAGGGGACTAATAATTCAGGAGGGCAAATAATTCTTTATTCTAATAATTCTGTTTCTTTCAGCTGTATATGCATACACTAAACTACCTGCCAAAAGTCTTGTTGTCAATCTCAGTTGTAAGAGCAACAAATAATAACTTGACTTCTAGATGATCATTTGGAAAAGTGGCAGAAGGTCGGTTTTTCAGATGAATCATCTGTTGAGCTGCATTCCAATCATCACAAATACTGCAGAAGAACTACTGGAACCAGCATGGCCCCAAGATTCTCACAGAAATCAGTCAAGTTTGGGGAAGGAAAAATCACGGTTTGGGGTTACATTCAGTATTGAGACGTGCGAGAGATCTGCAGAGTGGCAACATCAACAGCCTGAGGTATCAAGACATTTGTGCTGCCCATTCAGGCACGTGCACACATAGGGCTTAACCTGTGCAGTGCACATGCCCTTTTTAGTCTTGGATAGAAAGTGCCATTCCAAAATGATCAATAGTGCCCCCGCAACACACCCCCTCTCCCCCCTACCGCCCTTTACTAGGCGCGCGACAACACCCCTCTTGAGTATGCGCGCTCCCCACCCCTACCGCCCTTTACTAGGCGCGCGACAACACCCCTCTTGAGTATGCGCGCTCCCCACCCCTACCGCCTTTTACTAGGCACGCGACAACACCGCTCTTGAGTATGCGCGCTCCCCACCCCCTCGCTTTACAGTACGCGCGCGACAACACCGCTGATCAGAACGCGCGCGTGACAAACATCGGTGAT